ATATTACAATACAAATAAAGTTTCACATGATTAAAATATGAAGAAAAATAAAAAAAATTATAAAATACATACATACTCTATTAGTAAGAAGTCTTTTAAGTAATAACCAAAAAATAAAGTCAAAGGATATAAATTCAAAATGAATAATATCTTGTAAAAATAAGTTTACAAAATATCTCTAATAAAATAATAAAATATAATCATCCTCTTGATAATTGATATATATATATATCAAACAAATACACTAACAAAAATATCATACACCGCTTTAATAAATATATCCCAAAAAACAAGTACAAAGACATAACCCTTCAATATGTTCAAGACCATGGTTTTAAATTGCGGACCGCAACACGTGTTGCGGCCGCAATATTGTTGTTGCGGCCTTATCCGCAACGGCATCGGACCGCAATTGCGATGATACTGAAAATCACACATTTTTTCGCAACGTAACGGTGTTGCGTCCGCAACACATCTGCAATGTACCGCAATACATCCGCAATACGATAAATTGATACTATAATTTTAAAATAAATTAAATTATTCATTAAAATAATAGAATATTTTAAAAAAAAAGGAATTAAAATGTATAAATCCTTAAAAATAAAATATATATTGATAATTATAAATTTTTTATATTTAGTGAAAATAATTAATAATCTCACACCACAACAGACGCAATCCGCATCGCAATACCCGCAATACCCGCAACCACAGTAACTGCAACCGCGACCGCAACCGCAATTTAAAACCATGTTCAAGACATTAACCATTAATGTACCTCTTGAGCAATTATACAAGTCACCAGGTTGGCCATTGATGGTGTAAGCATCTGATGCATTGGGCTCGCCACCATTTGCCAGGGCTGAATTGATGATCTGCATCACATCTCCCTTATACCACTCTCCTAAAAGAACACCAAAAGCACAAGAGGTTGTGTGTGATTGAACATATATAGGAAATTTAAATGGAATTTTCATTACACAATTACCAACCAATGATAAGAATTTCTTGTCCATAAGGTTCAGGGAAAGGATATGAAGTTCCATTGGCAGGTAAAATGAGAATGGCACCATGGACAGTGGCACGAGTCCAACTGCTGTGTGCATGCCACCAAAGAGTTCCTTCTTCCAATGTAAAGGCCACCTTCTGGGTGAAACTTGTTCCAGGTGGAATTGGGCATTGTGTTATGTTCTCAGGTCCATCTGACCAAGGGTCTCTTGGTTCCCTCACACCATGCCTGTAAAAGTGTTTCAACTTTTCAAGACTTACTATTTTTGATGCATTCACACCCTTCATGAGTTATATTTCATTAATTTTCTTTATTTATAAACCAATGCAATTTTTAGTTGAGAGTTAGAATTAATCATTCGAGATATATGAGATTCTTTGGCTGAAAGTTACATTGCGTCTGATAGGTGGAAAAATTATTACATGATGCAAGACCAACCAATATTTCTTGTTACTTGTTATTAATGATTAAATAAATCGATGGTAGCTATGTGAGGTAAGATATAAGAGAGGAATATCTCGCATAATTTTTCTTTATTTGTATTAAAGATATTCTTAACGATAATAAAATGGGTCAATTCATTTCACCATGATATGATATGTTGAAAAGGTGGTTAAATTATATGAAACTTTTAATTGGTCAATTCATTTCACTATGATATGATATGTTAAAAAGGTGGTTAAATTATATGAAACTTTTAACTTGTCTAGTTTATCAACAAGTTGATGAGTCAACTCATTTAATAATTACAAAATTCTTTTCTTATTTACTTTATATATAATGTTTGTGTGTCTAAGAGTTTTACACGGCTATCATATTGTATGATAATTTATTAATTTTATAATAATTGTGTAAAAAGTTATATCAATAGTAATTTTTTATTGGTTAACTATTTTACACTGCGTTCATTAAATCCATATATACACTATAATACCAAACATAATTTCAAAAGGATCAAAATTTATAATATTATTTTATTTAAAACTTAAGTGATACCCTACTATAAAGTAAAGTAATACAATATAAGAAAAGTTATAAAAATAAAAATGGGTTGACAAGTGAATCTACTCCAAACATTTTTTGACAAATCAAGGTAGATTGGTGGGTTAAAAATCTCAACTTTATGCAAAAATAAAAGATAGGTTTCAAATCCATAAGTGAGTGAGGTTGGAATACATACCAGAGAAACAGATCATGATGTTTTACTCTAAACTCATTTAAAGTGAACTCAAGCTTTTGTGGAAATGTTTGTTTGTCCAGTGAAACAATTGAGTGAAGTCAACTGTATTTACCAAAGTGTGATTTTTTGCTTCTCTATCAAATGACATTGGAATTACTTATACCCCTAATGCATATACCTAGTGCCGTGCATTTGGTGATCCTTTAACTTGTAGGTACCGATTTATTGGCAGCCTTTTGCTGATATGTAAGATGATTTAATTAAATATGTTGCAAAGTATTGGACTATTGGTCCATTTTTTGTTTCAATGAGATAGAGCACAAGAAAAAAATAAACTCTTATTATGATTGAGCAAATCAACATGCATAATTTACTACAGAAATATATGCTAGAACAAACGATGTTCTAAAAGACATACCGGAAATCGAACACACTAATTTTGTAAGTTTTTAACCGGAATTCGAACACACTAATTTAAGTTGGCAACCTTGTTTTCTCGTTACTACATAAAGATGCCAACAATAACTATTCTTAGCAGAATTAGCATAGCGAAATTTGGCAGCGGCACACAACTTTTATATATTATCAGAGCATTCTCCGCCATCATTTTGATGCAGCACAGCGATGAGCCAGTTCAGTTACAAATTCTGTTGTACTTTTATCAGAATTTCCTCCCTCGTCAACATAATTCTTGGCCAAATTCTTCCATTTGATGGAGTTTTTCTTTATTTCATTTCCCTTTTCAGTCTCCAATATTTCCTTTATGCAATGTGTGATTGTTTCTCTTCTAACTATCTCTTTCTCATCAGCAACAGCTTTGACTCCAATTTTCCACACATCCCTTACAAGCTTTGCATTTGTGATCTGGTCTGTCCACAGTGGCATTGCAATTAGTGGAACTCCTAAGCTCAAAGCTTCCAATGTAGAGTTCCAACCACAGTGTGTGAGAAAACACCCCAAAGCCTCATGTATCAAGACTTGTAGTTGAGGACACCATGCGACTATTAAACCCTTCTCTGATGTGCCAACAAAGTCCTTTGGAAGCTTACCCTGCTCAGAATCTCTAATCACCCATATGAAATAATTTCCACCATCTCTCAAACCCCAAGCTAGTTCCTCAGTTTGCTCCTCACTAAGCTCTGCCATGCTCCCAAAAGAGACATACACAACTGACCCTTTTGGTTTATCATCAAGCCACTTGATGCATGCTTCTGAGTTTGGGTTATACATGTTAACACCATAGTCCTTGTCATCTTGCAGTCTTTTGTCCAAATACATAGATGGCAAGCATGGTCCTATTGTCTTTAATGGCCAAATCTTCACCAGCCAATCCACAGCCTAAAATGAATTTCATTTCAAATTTGAATCATCAATATTACCAACAAAATCACTATTACTGTCTAATACTAACTCACTCCAATTAATAAGAACCAGAACAAAACTTAGATGCAATTTTGTAAGTATTTTTGGTGTTTAAGGCTACTGTAAAATTTCAATTTTGATCGGATAATAACATCAAAAGCACATGCAGAACTACATATCAGTTTTGTCTTAAGAACAAGTCAAATTAATGAACAGAATTTTCAGCTAGTCAAAGTCACTAACCTTCACTATTGTCTAATATTATAATTTATTCCAATTAATAAGAATAGGGATAAAACTTAGATTCAGTTCTATGAGTATTTTTGGTGTTTAGGGTTTATGTAAAACTTCAATTTTGATTGGATAATAACATCAAAAGCACACGCGGAACTACATCTAAGTTTTGTCCTAAGAACAAGTCAAATTAATGAACATAATTTTCAGCTAGTCAGAGTCACTAACCTTCACTTCTGTCAATATTCTAATTTATTCCAATTAATAAGAATAGGGATAAAACTTAGATGCAGTTCTATAAGTATTTGTGGTGTTTAGGGTTACTGTAAAACTTCAATTTTGATTGAATAATAACATCAAAAGCACATGGGGAACTACATCTAAGTTTTGTCCTAAGAACAAGTCAAATTAATGAACAGAATTTTCAGCTAGTCAAAGTCACTAACCTTCACTACTGTGTAACATTCTAATTTATTCCAATTAATAAAAATAGGAAGAAAACTTAGATGCAGTTCTATAAGTATTTTTTGTGTTGCGGGTTACTGCAAAACTTATCCACCATTTGAATCTCCAACAATTATTTCAATTTCATGCTTGTTTGGATAATAGCAATGAGACTACCCAATGTGATGCTAAGAATAGCTAGGATTTCCGGAAGATGTCATTTGTTTGATGAGAAATAAAAAAGGATATCGAAAATTTAAGTAGCTAAAGCTGAAGCAGCTACTTTCGATTCTAATTGGAAAACATCACCAAAAGCACATGCAGAATTGCATCTAAGTTGTGTCATGAGAACAAATCAAATGATTGAACAGAATTTTCAGCTTGTCAACTCACTTACCCCTTGCTCCAGTTCATAAAATGTGTTTGCAAGAACCCAATCTGCTTTATAAATATTAGCAAATTGGTTCACAACTACACCAAAGAAGCCAGGGTATGACCCATATTTGTTCAAGAAAGATGGAAAATCCTCAGCTGCAAACTTTGGCATCCCTGGCAACAAATATTCTGTCTGTGAGAGAGGCAACTCCAGCAGTTTCTTATAAGCATGCAAGTATATGTTGTTTGTTGAGCAAGACTGAGTGAAGAAAGTAGCACCAAGTAGTCCAAATTTCTTTGCAACATCAAGAGCCCAAGGCATGAAAGCATCATAGATAACACAATCTGGAGGGTGGCTTGACCCTGCAAGCTTGTGAACAAGCTCAGCAAGAGTTTCTGATCCAACCCTCCAAAATGTGTCTATGTAAGCCTCAAGGCTCTCTGCTGCTGCAAGCCCTCCATCATCATAGCCATCTGAGATGCTCTCAACTTCTATGGAAGTGATGTTTTTGTTGCTCATTGTCTTCCAATTGGACACAACTGTTATCAGTGTCACCTTCACTCCTCTCTGCACCAAACGCTTGGAGAACTGAAGCATAGGATTGATGTGTCCTTGTGCAGGATATGGTAGGACAAGACAGTGAGCAACATAGTTTTTCCTTCCCTTATCCATTCCTTGGATCCCTGGGTTTGTGTTTTCTTCTCCTTCCCAACACTGCATCGGTGTTTGGTTTTTTTAAGGTGCACCAACTTTATAGATAAAAAATATTTTGTGATCCATAAATTTATAATTAATATGTTAAGAAATTATTTTATAATTTAAAATTTAAGTTAAATATTTAATTTAATTAATATTTTTTTATAACGTTTCAAAACCAAAAAACAGTTTTCAAATTGTGCCCCTTTCACCAAGCCTCACGGCTTTTCTCCGATTAGTTACACGTGCACAGTACATCCATTTGTTATCAAAATGCTCGCAAAACAAATTCTTAAAAGTTGGTGCACGTACTGTTGAAGTTGAAAAAGGTGCCTAATAGTGTGCCTATATATATATTTTAATACGTGAGAAAAGTAATGAAAAAAAATAGAAACACACACAGCAAGTTTTTTTATCTCTCTCCCTCAATATTATTTCTATTACAAAATTATAATTTTGGAACGGTATTTTTGGTTCGAGGATCTTTCGCTGCATTCGTAACAGGTTGACGTATCTTGGAAGAGGAGCGCACTATAAGATTCTAAATTACCAGTGCAGTGGAGGCGTTTTTTTCTCTAAGGATAGCGCTCTGCGTGCTTCAACTCAGGCTACTCTAAACCTATTATTTAATTTGCTCTTTGTGTTTTGTTGATACTGGTTTTATTGATAAATCTAAATATATTTTTTGTGTTCTATTAAATTTATTTTTCTAACATAATTAACATCATTTTTCATAATATTAGGATTTATAATTTCATAGGAATAATAATTCTTTGTGCATGAAAAAATTTATTTTCTATGAAACATCCTGTTGTCACCTGGAACGACGGATTTAGATGGAGTTTAGTGGGGCTGATACATGTATATTTTTTTTATCTAAAAAATAATATTTTAATAAAATAAATGTATATATTTAAATTGTTGTATGTAAAAAATATAAATTCAGAAGAGATATTCATTTATTTAATATTTTTAAAGGAAATTAATTCTTATACGTGATAAGGAAGCGGCATACATATTTACTTTTTGTATTTTCTATTTATTGTATACGTTGATTAAAAAAATCAAAATAGTAAGATTGTATGACATTGATTAAAAAAATCAAAATAAGAAATATCGAAAGATTTATGTAATAAATTTTTTGAAATTACAGATACTAAAAATAATAATTTTAAATTTGAGGTACTAAAAATAAATTTATCATAAATTTAAAGAATTAAAAATATATTTAAGTAAAAAATAAATTTTAAAATAAATTATCATCTAAAAATTTATATTAGATATTAAAAATATGTTTATATCATAAATAAATTAAACTTAATTTTTATAAAATTTAACATATTTTTTTTTATATTTTTATTAATATTAAATTATTATAAAGTAGGTCTTTAAGATTATAGTTCTAATCAAATATTTAAAAAATATTTATGATAGATAAATAAGTCATACTTAGAATATATATTTTTAAAGAAAGTTAAGTTCAAACCTGTTAAATTATAATATAATATAATTTAACCTAGTTTATTTTCATCTTTAACTATAATCATAGATATAAAAACTTGTAAAAAATAATTATGATATATAATTATACTCTTAAAAATTATATATAAAATTTTTAATACTATAAATATATCAATAATATTATCCCTATTCTCTAAAATTTCTGAATGTCTTAATGTCGAAAATGACTTGAATGCAGATGTCCCCAGGCAAGATTTCTCCTTTTCTGATTTCGTTTTCCGATGATGTGATATCCTCTTCTTTTCTTTGGTTGGGGAAATACTTGTAAAAAAAAACTCTGATAATTAAATTTTCTTGATGTATCTCTTAATATTTATATTATACCTACCGGATTGAACTTTGTTTTATCTATGAGTAAAATATTTGTTGCTATTTACGCGTTATGGACGTTGTATAACTGGTCTTATCTTTTTTTACCAAACCTCTCAACTAATGTGTTGTACCGATATGTTTGTCGTCGAGCATATCATCAAATGACATCTCGACATTATATGTCCTCGGTCGAGTGCCATATCTCGACCAGGTTAGAACACATCCAAAAGGTGAAAAGGTTTAATAAATCAACTACGCGTTTTTCTTACTCCAACCTTCCATTATAATGGTTATATTTTATTAGTATAAAATATTTTCAGATTTTATTGATAATAAATTTTTATTAAAATCTAGATTAGTCGACTCTAATTTTTTTTCTTTTGATCAGATTTTTTTATAACTAAAAAAATTGAATTTAATATCACGTAGATCCACAATTTATTGAGATTATCTTTAAAGTTACTCAAAGTAGCGTTTGCAATTACGTCATCATAGATTTGTTTATTCGAGTGAGATCAGCACCGACATTACGGTCAAAGGAGCGGGTGGAAATCCATAGATTCTTTTTAATTCGGTGAGAACTACTTGTTATTTTTTTTGTTTGAACTCGCATACCACTAGTGACCACGAAATGTCGGGTTGTCTCAATTATTTCATGATTTATAGATATAAAAAGAAAGATTATAATAGTGAAAACAAATAAATAATAGGAGAGACAAAAAGGAATTTGATTGATATAATATTTCTAAGAAAGGATTTGATATGAAAGCTATAGAAACAGACAGTATAGAGAATCCAGGAACTTTAAGGAGTTCGAAGACCTTGAGAACCCAGAAAATTCTAATCGAGTGAAAGAACTTCGAGTCTTATTGCATTGAGAATCTAAGAGGAAAATTATATAATGATTCATGTATCCTGTTTTCAACCACAACTAACTATTTAGAGTTAATTTTACAAATTCTGTTGTAACTTGTTCAATTAGTTAACAACTAATTTTCACCTAATATTGTAAGTCAACTAACTACATAACAATTTCCCTCCCTTAAAAGAATTCTTGTCCTCAAGAATTGAAAAATTGAGGAAATTTTCTAAGTAAATCATAATAGAACTCCCAAGTAGCATCCTCCGCACACTGATTCTTCCATTTTACTAAAACTTTTGTCACTGCTTGTCCCCTTTTCTTGATGAAAGTTCTGTCCATAATTGTCTCAGGCTCCCTTGCATTGGTTGCATTAGTAATATGGCTTGGAAACACTGTTGAAATGACAGCATCCCCAATATGTTTCTTCAACTGAGATACATGAAATACGTTATGAATCTGTGATGTATTTGGCAGTTGTAGTTTGTAAGCTACTAGCCCCACCTTTTCAATTATTGGAATTGTCTATCAATCCTATGTTTATTGGCCATTTGTTGCATTTTATTTTGAGCTCTTTTCAAATGAAATTTTAAAACCTTCAACCTCTTAGTAAGACTTCTATCCAACAGTTCCACATTAGATTCTCCTGGCAAATAGGGTAATGAAGCAGGAGGTGGTTGTCCATAGACAATTTCGTAGGGTGTAGCATTGATTGCTGTATGAAAAGTGGTGTTATACCACCATTCAGCCAATGGTATCCACTTAGGCTAGAGCTGTGGAGTATTTGAACACATACACCTCAGATAAGTTTCCAAACATCTGTTGACAACTTCTGTTTGTCCATCTGTTTATGGATGGTAAGCACTTGAAAGCTTTAACTGAATCCCTTGACAAGCCATTAACTCTTGCCAAAATTTACTGAGAAAGATAGGATCCCTATCACTGACAATTGACTCGGGAAATCCATCTAATCTGAAAACTGTATCCATGAAAGCCTGAGCTACAGTGCAAGCGGTATATGGATGAGTAAGGGTCATGAAGTGGGCAGCTTTACTCAACCGATCGGCCACCACAAAAATGCATTGTTTTCCCTTAGATAGAGGTAAACCTTCAATGAAATCCATGGAAATATGCTGCCATACATGTCCAGGGATTGGTAATGGCTGTAATAACCCTGGACAAGCAGTGGGTTCATATTTATTTTGTTGACAAATGTTACATTTTTTCACAAATTCATGTACATCTTTTGTCATTCCCTTCCAAAAAACTATAGCTTTTATCCTTTGTAGAGTCGCATGTCTTCTTGAATGCCCACCTGTTGCAGTAGAATGCATCCACTGTAACAGATCTCGTCTTAATTGAATATCCCTTCCAACTACCAACCTTCCTTTCCTTCTCAACTCAGAACCATTCCATGAATGATGTTTGTGACTATTAGCATCAGCTTGTAATTGAGAAATCAATTTCTGTACATCAGGATCTGATTGATAAGATTGTAAAATTCTAGCTAACAAATCAGATTGTAAGCTTGTGACAGTTAGTGCTTGGCAATCAATATGTTCTATTCTCGATAATGCGTCAGTAGCTACATTCTCCTTTCCTTCTCTAAATTCTATAGAGAAAACGAACTCCATGAGTTTAACTAGCCATTTTTGTTGGAATGCCATGGATAATCTTTGGTCTAATATATATTTGAGGCTTCTATGATCAGTTTTTATCACAAAATGTCTATTAAGCAAGTAATGCCTCAATTTTTGTACAACAAATACTACTGCCATCAATTCTTTCTCATAGGTCGATAAAGATTGTTGTTGTTTACTTAGGATCCTACTGATAAAGGCTAAAGGATGATGATCTTGCATTAACACAACACTAATGCCATACCCTGAAGCATCCACCTCAACCATGAATGTTTTGTTGAAATCTAGGAGAGCTAAAACAGGTGCATTCATCAATCTTGTCTTTAACTGTTGAAAAGACTCTTTTGCCTTGTCAGTCCAAACAAAATTATCCTTCTTTAGCATGTCGATGAGGGGTCGTGCTATAGTCCCATACCATCTCACAAATCTTCTATAATACCCGGTTAACCCCAGAAAACCTCTCAACTGTTTCACGTTTTGAGGTAATGGCCAATCCCTAACTGCTTGTACTTTTACCGGGTCAATTGAAACTCTTCACTAGACAAAAAATGGCCTAAGTATTCCACCTTGTCCACCCCGAAATAGCATTTTGATTTCTTGGCCAAAAAATTATTCTCCCTCATAACAGACAACACCTTCTCTAAATGCTGTAAATGTTCAACTTCATTGGTGCTATAAACTAAGATATCATAAAAAAAAAACCAATACGAATTTTCTAAGAAACTTACTG